GAACCTCCCACTGGGGCCTTCGGTGGATCTCCCTACGGGGCCATGAACCGCTTCAGAGATGTGCCGAAATGGGGCGGGAAGACGCATGTGGACCCTCCCACTGGGGCCTGCAGTGGAACTCCATGTGGCATGTGCCAACGTGGTGCCGAAATGTTGGTTCGGAGGGCCAGAGCAGGGATGGGAGGAGGGTTGAGGGGGGGAGGAGAGGAGGAGGACGCGAGGCGCTGTCTCCTCAGAACGAGGACCCACCACCACAGGATGGCTGGGGAAAAGCGCAACATCTACAAAATCACCACCAGTGCCGCGCCAAGTTTCAAGCCGGACTGACCTGCGAGGGCCACGGGGCCCGAAACTGGGCGAAAACGCCTGTTGTGAAAAAAAGCAGCGCCAGGTTCTCAGGGGCGCACGCTCTCCCCAAGGGTCGGGGGAGGGCGTGAAAGAAGCAGGCCGGCGCACACCGCCTCGCTGTCCTCCCGACGCCAACCGCCGAGGGCGGAAGGGCTAAGTCGAGCGTGTCCCCCTACAGGGAGATTTTGGGGAAAAATGAAGAATACTCCAAAAGTACCTCCCAAATAAGCAAAAATAGTCGAACAATCGTCCCCAGACTATTTTTGGACTACTTGTGAATATTCCTCCTGTCGAGGGACGGGCCCGACTCAACGGAAGGGATTCCCCCTGCCTGCCTCCCGCTGACCTCCCCGGGCCAGGCCTGTGTTCTCGTCTTTGGCGCCGGTGTAGCCTGCCCCGCCGGCGTCCCAGACCACCTCGGGCGGAGGATCCGAGGCCTGGCCCGATCCGTCACCAGTTCTCCGCACCCTCTCACCTGTTGCTGATGCGACTCTGAATATTACGACGGTTCTTCTTATTACTGCCAAACCTGGTGTTCTTGACATTTGCACATGAAATAAATTCAACAACGCTCCTGCTGCTGCTGCTCCTCCTCCTGCTGCTGCTGGTCCTCCTCCTCCTCCTCCTTCTCCTCTTCCTCCTCCTCCTCTCCGCGGCCGGTGCTTATCCCATCACTACCGCCTTCGGAGCCGATTCCCCACGACCTCAAGGGGCAGCGGGTATTGAGTAAGCAGCGGGGATGGATAAGCTCTGGCTTTGGAGAAGGCGAGGAAGAGGAAGAGGAGGTGTGTTCACCATATCATGAGCAGGATTCCTGATTTCCCAGATTATTATCTCCTTCTCCTCCTCTTCATTTTCCTCCGTCCCCCCTCCTCGACATTATACTATTACGCTCTCTTCTGATGTTTTCGGGCGCAGCCCGAAATTGTTTCTTGCGAAATAAACTGAACTGAACTGAACTGAACTGAACTGAACTGCGCTGAACAGACTGGTCGCACCCGTCACGCGACGGTTCTATTCTCGGCCGCCGAGGGCGCAACCTATGGCGCAACCGATAGACGACGGTTTATTCTCGGCCGCCCAGGGCGCAACCTATGGCGCAACCGATAGAAGACGAGTTTATTCTCGGCCGCCGAGGGCGCAACCTATGGCGCAACCGATAAGAGACGATTTTATTCTCGGCCGCCGAGGGCGCAACCTATGGCGCAACCGAAAGGAGACGGTTTTATTCTCAGCTGCCGAGGGTGCAACCGATGGCGCAACCCATGGGAGACGGATTGATTCTCAGCCGCCGAGGGCGCAACCGATAGCGCAACCGATAGGAAACCGAGCTGGATCAGGAGAAGGATGAGGAAGACGAGAAGGATGAGGAGGGTGAGAAGGAGGACGAGGCCGACGATCAGGATGGGGAGGAGGACGAGGAGGAATATGAGTAGTACGAGGACGAAGTGTGGGCATTCGAATGCGTGCGGGACTACGCCCGATGTGTGCTCGCCATTTGGGCTGGCGGTGGGGCCCCTGCGGCGAGCTGTCTTGTGATTTGAATATACTGAATAAATAAAGAAGTTACCCTGATCGCACGCAACCCGCCCCAGCTGCACTACCAGTCCCATAAATTGCAGGCGCCCGCAGAACATATTACCGCAGCAGGCATCGGAAGACATGCTATGTATTAGAGGCCGTGGCCTTCCCACTCCACCAAGTCCCACCATTTCCGTTTGCCCCTGCAGCGAGGCCGTGGCAGACCGCAGCAGGCATCGGAGCAACCAGTTGCTCATCAGTGGCCGTGCCCTTCCCACTCCGCCTGCCAAGCCCGTACGGTTTGCCTCTTCAGGGAGGCCGCGCCAGACGGCGGCAGGAATGAGAGCACTCTGTTATGTATCAGGGATCGTGCCCTTCCCCCCTCCACCAGTCCCACCAACGCCACGTCCCCCTTGAGGGAGGCCGCGCCAGACCACGTCAGGCACAGGGGCCCACACACACACACACACACACACACACACACACACACACACACACACACACACACACACACACAAAAAAAAAACAAACAAACAAACAAACACACACACACACACACAGAGATGTTGCATGTCGGAGCTCTTATTTCGCTGACCAAGGTCGCATCGGGTTGCGTCCTCAGGGCAACCCAGATGCCCACCAGGTCGCATACTATATCCATGGGTAGTTCAATGTTGCGTTCCAGTGTTAGAGCGGAGTAGACCTCCAGCCAATTCTAAACTGGGCGCGGCAATGACGCTAGGTTTAGATCGGGCATATCCTCTTACAGGCGGATGTTGGACGACAAATTACATATAGTTCAAAACATACTCCAAACATATGTTTTAAAAAATACAAATGTCAAAGAATCGTCCCCTGACTATTGTTTGACTATGTTTGGATATTCCCCCTGTGGAGGGACAGGCCCTACTTAACGCAGGGTTCCCTTGCCCCCCCCTCCCCTCGCCAGCCCCCCCAGTCGATCCCGACCCCCCGGCGCTCTGCCACGGGAGGCCACGGGCCAAGCCGCTGCAGCGCCGAGCTCGACGGACAGATTGGCGCGACGAGCAGGCCAGCCACCCCGACCTGATGGGCTTGTTTTCCACCACCACCACCACCACCACCGCCACCACAATAAGTTGGAGGGGGAGGGGGTCCTTCTCCTCCTCCTCCTCCTCCTCCTCCTCCTCCTCCTCCTCCTCCTCCTCCTCCTCCTCCTCCTCCTCCTCCTCCTCCTCCTCCTCGTCCTCGTCCTCCTCCTCGTCCTCCACCTCCTTCCCCCCTCCAGCGTATGGTGGTGGTGGAAAACAGGCCCATCACGACCCGCGCAATGCCCGCGCGCCGAAGCACGCTCGCGGGAACGCATCCGTGGACCGAAGAAATCACGAGGGCCCCCCGATCCCAGCGGGCGCAGGCCAGAAGCCAAAATCAAGCCGGCGGGCACGAATGCAACCGCGCGCGCCCCCGCAGAAGGGCGCGCGCGCGCATGCCATCCTCGGCTTCGGAGCAGCGAGAATCGCCCCCGAGCCACTACAGGGGCCCACAAGTGTGACCACTAATTTGTTGGGAGGGAGTCCAGGGTGAGACCATCATTTTCAATGGCGCTGCCCTGGCCCCAGACTGACAGACGGTCGGGCGTGGCGGGCACTCCAGCAGACCTAGCGGCCACAGAGGAAAACAACGATCACTTCGACGAAAACTAGTGGACACACACACACACACACACCAAAAAAAGCGGCCACAGAAAGAGAAACAATCGTGGTCACACTGACAGAAGCTAGTGTTTACGCAGAAGTATAGCCACATCGACATGCACCAATGGTGCCAACCACGACAATAGTGATCACAACAGTCGCGCCCACCTTCGCCCGCGCACTCCCTCCTCGGGAAGCTGGAAACAGGGGCGCGCGCTCTCGGCATCCACTTCGACCTGAATGTCCCCATGGGGATCTCCACGTCCGGGATGTGGACCCTGCCACTGAGGCCTTCAGCGGAGCTCCCGATGGGGACACGAAACGTGTGAGGGGTGAAGAAATGGTGATGATGGACGAGGGGGAGGAGGAGGAAGGAGGCGCGGGGCGCTGCCTCTTGAAAATCAGGACACAATTCCACAGGATGGTCGGGAAAAAACGGCTCCTGGAAGACGATGCGAGGCCCTCCAGTGAGCATTATCTAATTCGGCGTTTCGACAACGGGCGGAAAGAGGGGGGAAGGGGGGGGGTCTGGCTCCAGACCTCTGCTTCATGCGCCTGCTTGCGGCAGTGCGTCCCATGGGGGAGGGACTCCACCTGCTCGAAACATGCGCTCAAACAGGGGGGAGGAGGGGGGGAAGGCCCGCGCCGATCGGCAAAACAATCAATAATGAAAACGTGCACCTTTCCTAGAGCGCCCTATTTTGAGCGGCGGGGCAGCGGGAGAAGGGCGCCTCGGGCGCCTTGTCCGGGTCGATCGTATACTCCTTGCCCGTGGAGTTCTGTCGGCGGCGGGCCAGATGGGGGTGGAGGGGAAGAGGCGGCCGCACAGGGGAGGAGGAGGAGGAGGAGGAGGAGGAAGAGGAGGAGGAGCAGGAGGAGAAAGGAGGAGAATCCGTCACACTCCCGGCCCCCTCCACGCGGGCCTGCCTGTCCTTGCAGGGGCAGCGCGGGTGCCAGTTCCACTGGCACTGCACTGGGGGGAACTGACATTGGGCGTGCACACTCTGAGCCACTTCGATCGCGAGAGCGGCTCGCGGAGACATCACATCACGCGGCATAGCATAGTCTACGAAGCGAAACAGACACGGCTGGGCGCCACGGTGGCCCCCCCAACGGGGGAGGCAGCGGAAGGCTCCGGAGGCCACGAGGGGGAAGACGGGGACCCACCCGAGACATTCCCAGGGCGCCCAAGAGGGCGCGAGCTCAGGACGGCAGGCCTCGAAGACCCCCATCGGCCCACAGCCAGGCACATGCGAGGTGTCCTCGTCGTCACATCAGGCGCACGCTCACTCGACTGCACAGGCGGAGGAGGGCAAGGAGGAGGAGATGCCGACGTCTCAGACTCATGTGACGAAACACTCGACGATTGGGACTCACCATCCTCGGAACTCGACGACGTCGACGACGATTCATCTCCATGGGCAATCATCATCGCTTGCCTCATGGTCGCTCTCGAAATCAAATGAACCTGCTTTCCTCGAAGAGGCAGACGCGTGGACAGCTGGGCAGCGCCCACGAGAGCGGCAGCTTGTACATGATGTCGGTGGTTATGTGAATGCATCTGATGTCAGCCGATAATGGCGATACATGGCCAGTAAGAACGCATAGTAGCCAGAGAGTTCGACTGTTCCCTCCACTGTCCCAGGAAAATATGTTCGAAGCGCAAGGGCAGCGAAATGGTGGAGTCGGCCATAGATACACCCCGCTTGCCCCTGCATCCGAATATTCGTGATGCAAGCTCCCAACCACGTCCTAACAATGACTACGTTCCAAGCACACCACCGATGCCGAAATGTGTTTGTTGTTTCGAGCCGTTGGGGAAGAGAGAAAGTACAGCGGGAGGGAATAGTGCACGATGCAGAATACAACAAAAGACCGCTTGCCACTTTACTGTCTGTGCGTGCTGCTCTGGGTCAGTAGTGCCGAATTTCTTCTGCAACGTCTGTAGCGGTGGCGGCAAGCACCAATCACCAAGCAGAGAGCAAGCAGCAGCAGGTAGCGCTGTGTCCCGACGTAGCCATATATCTATAGCAATAGCACCACCACTGCGCAGGCTGGGGTCGTCTGGGAAGACTTTTGTGCACCTCGGGAAGGCCACGAACGGCGGGGCTGTCGAGAATGGAGGCGCCAATTGTGGTAGATTCCACCATGCTGCGAAGCCATGGTCATTCAAATGGCCTCTCAAATCATCAATCCTCGGCCGCCATCTTGCGCATGTCAACACAACTGTGCGCAGCCTGGCTACAACCGCGTACGCCCAGATGCGGGCGATACTGTGCCTCTGACTCTGCGCAATCACTCGCGGTAGCGGGACCAGCTGCGCAGTGTAACTCATAACAGGCGAAGCCCCTCGCGGTAAAGAGCCGCCATGGTCGCCGGTGGAGCACCAGATCTGCTGATGTCCAGTACTCTTCGCCGATGCTTGTGCACAGGATTGACCCACTGCAGAGCAATGCCAGCAGCAGGCCGAGCTGAAAGACAAAGTACGTACACACGTTCACGATCACAAAAGTTCTCCATGCTTTGCCCACTGATGTCAGCACAGTGCGAAGGGTCATCGTGGAAGCTTCATTGTGAACCCCCGCCGAGGGGATCGCTGAACACTTGCTGTGCTTCAGCCTGGGATTCGCGAACTCCTTCGACAGACAGACACAAGATTCGAGCCAAGCTGCGGTAGCCACGATCATGATACACAACAACTTCTAAATCACCAGCACACGCACATGGAAGCCCAATTGGGGGAGGCGGGGACGAGAGGCACCGCTCGAGGTCTAACAGGAACGGGTTCGCGGCGATCACATACAATAAGCCACTCAATGGGCGCCCTTGGAGGACGCCAGCCGCCAGACTGCATACGGTACATAAATAGCTGGTCACCACCACCATAGTAGCAGAACGTGTTATGATATAGTAACCGGATCGCCGAACGAAGAGGACTGGGGATAAGTAGATGCTCAAAGAACTTGAACAGCCAAGGTTGACCCACAGAAGGAAAAGCTTGCGCATAATCAACCGTGAGCAACTATTGGGTGTCCTGAGGGTGGTCATGTGCCATGATGCCCCCACGTCGGACCCCCACATCCAGCGTAAGCACATTGTTTAAGAAGGTGCGGCCCTTGATGAAGCCGTTCTGACACCGTGCCCCCGCAGACGCAACAATAGGATGCAGACGCTTGTTCAGGACCCCGCAGGTGACCGTATTGCTAGTGGTTTTGAGGCCGAGGGGACGCGTGTCGTTAGGGTCTCTTCGGACCCCACCCCTCTCGGGCTCCATTGTAGGGTCAGTGGCAGGCTTCGGGAGAAACACAGAGAGCAGCGGCGAGGAGAGAGGAGGAGGAGGAGGAGGAGGAGGAGGAGGAGGAGGAGGAGGAGGAGGAGGAGGAGGAGAACGAGGAGGAGGAGGAGGAGGAGGAGGAGGAGGAGAGAGAGAGGATGAGGGAGGAGGAGGAGGAGGAGGAGGAGGAGGAGAAGGACCAGAGCACATCCAAGATGCATCAACGACGCTGCGAGAGCCACGTTTGTGAGCGGTGTTTGCTTATGGGTTTCGGCATTTGGCCGAAGGAGGGGGGTCTGGGTCTGGGCCAGTGCTTAGTCGACCTGTTTCTACCAGTCGCGCAAGCAGACTGGGGGGGGTCCTGACCAGTCGCAAGGCGCAGCCGCCAAAAACAAACAAGATCTGGTCCACGGGGGGGAGGGAATGGGGGGAGGCAGGGGGGCCGCGCCCATCGGCGAAATACTAAACAAAATAATACTCACTGCGTGGAGCTCCCCGTATAAGCATCTCATTTTTTATGCCATGCCACAGTGAGCGTCTGCTCATGAGCGTTTGACTGTGATAGCGAACGGGCCCGTGTCCTACCCCCTGACGGCTCTCCTTAGGGATGCTGAAACCAACGCCGCGCCTGAGACATCCTCAAAATCTGTTCTGAAAGCCAACGATGTTGGGCATGAAAAGCGAACAAACCGCCTGGGACATCCCCACAAACTGGCCGCGAACGGGCCCGTGTCCTACCCCCTGGCGGCTCCCCTTAGGGGTGCTGAAACCAGCGCCCCGCCTGAGACATCCTCAGAATCTGCTCTGAAAGCAGAAGACGTCGAGCATGAAAACAAGCAAACCGCCTGAGACATCCCCACAAACTGGCCGCGAACGGGCCCGTGTCCTACCCCCTGGCGGCTCAGTTTAGGGGTGCTGGAACCAGCGCCCCGCCTGAGACATCCTCACAATCTGCTTTGAAAGCCAACGACGTTGAGCATGAAACAAGCAAACCGCCTGAGACATTCCCACAAAATGGCCGCGAACGGGCCCGTGCGAACACCACTGGCGGCTCCCCTTAGGGGTGCTGAAACCAGCGCCCCGCCTGAGACATCCTCCAAATCTGATGTGTGTTGAGTAAGTCAGACTAAGAGAAGGTCTGAGTATGCGTAGGTCTGAGTATGAGTAAGTATGTGTATGAGTACGTCTGGGTATGAGTAAGTCTGAGTATGAGTAAGTCTGTATATGAGAAAGTCTGTGTATGAGTACGTCTGGGTATGAGTACGTCTGAGTATGAGCGAGTCCGAGTAGGAGGAGACGAGAAGACTAGGGGACGAGAAGAGGAAGGAGGAGGAGGAGTAGGAGGTGCTTAAGTAATAGCAAGAACCCCAGCTTAGGATAGCGAGACTGAGTATGAGTAAGTCTGAGTATGGCATGGTCTGAGTACAAATGAATCTGATAATGAGAAAGTTTGGGACGAGTAAGTCTGAGTATGACTAGGTCTGAGTATAAATGAGTCTGAGTAAGAGTAAATATGTGCATGAGTAAGTTTGAGGAGGCAGAGTGGGAGGTGGAGGAGGGAGGAGAGGAGGGGTTCTGGTTCTGGTTGGAGTCGGCGCCGTCCAAATAATAACAAGAACCCCATCTTAGGATATGGGGAATTACCGTGGCGAAGGACCCAACCATATGCAGTTGTGAGTGCCGTCGTTGCAGTTGCGGGTATCGCCTTCGAGGAATTCCCTCACGGGGCCATGAAGCATGCGAAGGATGGAATCGACGATGGGCAGCGAAATGTGCGAGAGGTGCGCCGCAATGGGGCGGGGCCGCCATTGCAGCCTTCGGTGGAGCTCCCTGCGGGGCCACGAAAAGCTACATTGGGTGGAGGGGACGCATGCGAACACCGCCACTGGGGCCTTAAGTGAAGCTCCCTATGGGACCACAAAACGCTGTATTGACTGGGGGAACCACATGCGGACACCGCCGCCGAGGATTTCGGTGGAGCTCCACATGGGGCCACGAAACGCTGCACTGGGCGGGGGGCACCGCATGCGGACACCGCCACCGAGGGCTTCGGTGGAGCTCCCCATGGGGCCACGAAACGCTGTATTGGGTGGGGGAGCCGCATGCGGACACCGCCACTGAGGCCTTCGGTGGAGCTCCCTATGGAGCCACGAAACGCTGCATTGGGTGGGGGACCCGCATGCGGACACCGCCACTGAGGCCGTCGGTGGAGCTCCCTATGGGTGGGGGTACCGCAAGCGGACACCGCCACCGAGGCCTTCGGTGGAGGGTACCGTCGTCCGTGGATCCCCCCCTGGGGCCACGAAACGTTGCACTGGGCGGGGGGACCACATGCGAGTTACGGCACTGGGACCTTCGGTGGAGTTCTATCTGGGGCCACGAAACGCTGCATTGGGCGGGGAAACCGCATGAGAACTGCGCCACTGGGACACTCGATTGAGCCCCCGATGGGGCCAAGAAACGCTGCACTGAGAGCAAAAGGCGCATGCGAGCTCCGCCGCTGGGACCTTCGGCGGAGCCCACTGTGGGGCCACGAAATGTTGTACTGGGCGGGGGAACCGCATGCGAGTTCCACCACTGGGGCCCTCGGTGGAGCTCCCTTTGCGGCCACGAAACGCTGTACTGGGTGGGGGAGCCACATGCGGACACCGCCGCTGGGGCCGTCGGTGGAGCTCCCCATAGAGCCACGAACCGCTGAACTGGGCAGGGGGAACCGCATGCGGGCACCGCCACTGAGGCCGCCGGTGGAGCTCCCCATGGGGCCACGAAACGCTGCACTGGGCGGGGAAGCCGCGGGACCTTCGGTAGAGCTCCCCATGGGGCCACGAAACGCTGTACTGGGTGGGGGAACCGCATGCGGACTGAGCTACTGTGACCTTCGGTGGAGCTCCCTCTGGGGTCACGAAACGCTGCACTGGGCGGGGGGACCGCATGCGAACTGCGCCACTGAGGCCGTCGGTGGAGCTCCCTATGGGGTCACGCAATACTGTACTGAGCGGGGAAGCCGCATGCGAACTGCGCCACTGGGACCGTCGGTGGGACCCCCCATGGGGCCACGAAACGCTGCACTGGGCGGGGAAGCCGCATGAGAACTGCGCCACTGGGACCTTCGGCGGAGCTCCCTATGGGGCCACGAAGCGCTGTATTAGGCGGGGGAGCCGCATGCGAACTCGCCACTGGGACCTTCGGTGGAGCTCTCTTTGGGGTCACGAAACGCTGTATTGGGCGGGGGAACAGCATGCGAACTGCGCCACTGCGACCTTCTGTGGAGCTCCCACTGGGGCAACGAAACGTTGTACTGGGGGGGGGAAAGCATGCGGACTGCGCCACTGGGACCTTCGGTGGAGCTCCCTATGGGACCACGAAACGCTGTATTGGGCGGTGGAACCGCATGAGAACTGCGCCACTGGGACCTTCGGTGGAGCTTCCTGTGGGGCCACGAAACGCTGTACTGGGTGGGGAAACCGCACGCGAACTGCGCCACTGGGACCTTCGGTGGAGCTCCCCTCTGGGGCCACGAAATGTTGTACTAGGCGGGGGGGACGCATGCGAACTGCAGAGGAGGGAGGAGGGGGAGGACGAAGGAGGAGTGTGTGAGTGAGGAACGCAGGGCGATGTCTCTTCAAAACGAGCACCACAGGATGGTTGGGAATAACGACGTTTAAAAAGAAGCTGCAGTCACTTATTCTAGCTAGAAGGAAGACGACGAGGCATGATCATGAAGTCCGCGGAAGAAGTTCAGCGATAACCCCGCTTTGAAAAAAGAGCCACCCTCAGTCGGTGCAGACGTTTTCCAATATAAAACGTCAGATAACAACGCCTCGGAAAGTTCCAAGCAAGAGCACCAATATGCACATGAGCCGCCCTCGATCTGTGCAGCAGTTGCAGAGCTACGAAGTTCGTTCTGATCATAAAAAATCAACGAAGTCTCAACCGAATAAAATGCTTTGAAACACCCTCCATCTGTGGGACAGCTGGAAACAACCCCGTTGGAAGCTGGCACGGAAACGAGAATTACACGTTTGCCAGAAACCGCTCTCCAGCCGTGAAACAGCTAGAAAGATGCACAAGGAATGTGCACGGCGCTAAGACAAGAGCCACATGTTGAAAACGGCCCCCTCCATTCGTTTGAATAGCTGGTGGCTTATCTTAAAACGAACGTGCACGGCGCTCAAGCAATGGCCGCATTTTTGCAAGGGGCCCTCCGTCAGTCTTTCAATCCGGAGTTAAGGCGAATGCACGCGGCGCTCAGGCGAGAGTCACATTTTGGAAACGATCCCCCCTCCATCCTTGTAACTAGTAAACATGTCAAGTTTCGGAATCAGTGTTGGATATATTGTGAAGACGTATCAGGCGGAAGCTGGTGCTGCTGCTGTAAAACATAGGCTAAGAACACAGTTTGAAGCAAGATTTGCCCTTGTCCAAAGCAAGGTGCGAGCCCCAAATGGGCACTTCGATTGTCACACACACGGTGAACCGGAGGGGGGATATGAACAATTATCCTGGCGAAACACCCACCCATATGCAATTGTGAGTACCGTTTTTGCGGGTATCGCCTTCGGGGAATCTCCTCATGGGGCCATGAAGCATGAGAAGTGTGTGCCGATATAGGGCGGGGCCGCCATGTGGGTGCTGCCACTGGGGATTTAGGTGGAACAAACTATGAGGCCATGAAACATGTGAGGAGTGCGCCACTGGGGCCTTCGGTGGAGCTCCACATGGGGCCACGAAGCGCTGTTCTGGGCGGTGGAGCTACATGCGGACACCTCCACTGAAGCCTTAGGTGGAGCTCCCTATGGGGCCACGAAACGCTGTACTGGGTGGGGGACCCGCATGTGGACACCGCCCACTAAAGCCTTCGGTGGAGCTCCCTACGGGGCCACGAAATGCTACACTGGGTGGGGGCAACCGCATGCGGACACGGAGACCTTCGGTGGAGCTCCCTATGGGACCACGAAACGCTGTACCGTGTGGGGAACCCGCATGCGAGAGCAGCCACTGAGGCCTTCGGTGGAGCTCCCCATGGGACCACGAAACGCTATACTGTGTGCGTGGGGGAACCGCATGCGGACACCGCCACGGAAGTCTTCGGTGGAGTTCCCTATGGGGCCACGAAACGCTGCACTGGGCGGGGGAAACGCATGCGAATGCAGCCACTAGGGCCGTTGGTGGAACTCTCTATGGGGCCACGAAACGCTGTACTGTGCGGGGGAAGCGCATGCGAGCGCATCCACTAGGGAGCTCCCTACGGGGCCACGAAACGCTGTACTGGGGGGGAGAACCACATGCGAGAGCAGCCGGTGGAGCTCCCCATGGGGCCACGAAACGTTGTACTGGGTGGCGGAACCGCGTACGAGAGCAGCCGCTGGGTTCTTTGGTGGAGCTCCCTGTGGGCCACGAAACGTGTCAGGGGTGTGCCGAAATGGTTGACTGGCGCGGAGGGCGGAGGCAGGGATGGGAGGAGGAGGGAGGAGGATGGGGAGGAAGGGGGAGCGAGAGGAGGAGGAGAGGTGGGACTGTCTCTTCAAAACAACGACCCAACACCACAGGATGGTTGGGAAAAACAGGCTTCAGAAGGCAAAAATTCAACAAAACCTCGCCGCGGATCGACTGGCGGGCGGGCAAGGCGCTCCCTCTGGACGAGCATCGGGATCTTGTTGCGCTCGTAAAAGGCCACGAGCGCCGCCTGCGCCTTCGGGGCGCGGCCGCGCCGCTTCCAGTGCAAGGACGTCGCGGCGGGGGTAGGTGCGAAATCCTCGTCGACCGTGGTTCATTATCAAGGAATGATAAACCTAGGTTCATTATCTTCAGATGATACCCTGTGGTTTATTGTCCTGTGGATGGATCAAGCTGAGCCCCCCCCCGGCTGAATCATTATCTTTCTGGAATAATCAACCGAAGATTATTATTCCAACATTATGGACCACGGTTTATTTCAATCCGGTCATTACTCTCCAACACCCCCCCCCGGCTGAATCATTATCATTCCAGAATAATTAACCCGGGGTCAACATTCCGGAAACATTATGAACCCAGGTCAGATAATGAACCTGGGTCAATATTCCAACATGAAAAACCTGGTGCGGCACCCGGGCGCTGGGGGGAAATAAACAAATTATTATCATTCCGGAATTACAAAAACCGGTTCATTATTCCCGGGACATTATGAACCCTGGTCACTATTCCCAGAACATTATAAACCCAGGTTAACATCTTTTTGGGATCGGTAGGCCCAGAACATTATAAACCAAGGTTTATAATGTTCCGGGGGGAACATTATGAACCCCAATCAATATTTCCGGAACATGAAAACCCAGGTTCATGATGTTCCGGGGGAGACATTATGAACCCTGGTCAATTATCCCGGAACATTATAAACCCAGGTTAATATCTATTTGGGATCCATCCTGGTCGCGGCGATGACGGCGACGGCGACGACGAGGGCGGCGACGACGACGACGACGACGACGAACAAGACGACGACCACGGTGGCGGCGGCGGCGGCGGCGACAGCAACGACGACGCAGCCAGGCGATCGTCGGAGTCGGGCGCCCTCTCTCACGGCCGCCTGGGCCTCCCCTGCCGCCTCCTCCAAATGCGCCAGTTGGCGCCTAACTCCTCTCGGCACCACGGCCTGTGGGCTTCACAGCGTGACTATGCCGGCGCGGCTGCGTGTGCCGCAGCGCTGGAGGGAGGAGAACGCAGCGGAATACGAAAAAAAGCCGACATGTGAGATGAGGAGGAGGAGGAGGAGGAGGAGGAGGAGGAGGAGGAGGAGGAGGAGGAGGAGGAGGAGGAGGAGGAGGAGGAGGAGGAGGAGGAGGAGGAGAGGAGGAGGAGGAGGAGGAGGAGGGGGAGGAGGAGGAAGAGGAGGCTGCGGAGGCGGAGGCGGAGCAGGAGGAGGCAAAGGCAAAGGCAAAGGAACATGCACCCTTGAACGAAGGTATCGCGCAAGGACGGGACGCGCGGGCATCGCGAGGAAGCGTGGATGCTCTGCCCATCATTCATTGATCCCTTCATTGTCATTCATTGTCCCTGGGTGCTTGGCTGAAGTGGGGATCCGTGGTGAGGATTCTGCTTGTCGCAATGTTGCGTCGTTATTGTCGTCGTCCCACCCGCGACCCACCCGCGACCCACCCAGCGACCCACCCCAAAACCCATCCGCGACCCGCCTGCGACCCACCCGCGACCCAACAGCGACCCACCCCGCGACCCAGCCGCGACCCATTTGCGACCCACCCCGCGACACACCCGCGACCTACCCGCGCCCCACCCGCGACCCAACAACGACCCATCCGCGACCCACCCGCGACCCAGACGCGACCCATTTGCGACCCACCCGGCACCCGCCCGCGACCTACCCACATTGGTTTAACGAAAAAATCAGTGCCTACGGCGGGTTTGTGGTATAGTTTGTGAAACTTTGGCGCCCGCGGCGAACTTCTCCAGAGTCTCGCAGACTGCCGACGCCCCTACCGACCCCTCACTCTTATCCGCATCTGCGGGGTGCTACGTCAATGCCCCATATACAAAACGACGATGCCAGAAACAACGGGACATCACACTGAGTGGCATCATCTCCCCAACATGCCACTCGAATGCTCTTCAGCAACCCGACCCGTCAAAGCGCAAATGCTCTCAGGGCCTTCTTGACAATGGCGATGGCCGCCGTATCGTCCTCCACAGACTTCTCGAACGAACGGCGCTCCTTGTTCCTCGGTGCGCGGCGGAGGAATCCTCCTGCTTCTGAACTACGCCGGAAACCACCACAGACGGCGCCAAGCGTGCAGGTGCGTGCAGAAAGCCATGCACGTCAAAGATGCATTAGCAAGATGGTGAAACGAGCAGCTATAGTACAGTGACGGCGGCTCTGTTGTGGAATAAAGGTGAAACCACAAAACGAACACTCTCACGTCAGGGCCCCTGCGGATTTGGAATCAAGCTTGAAAGCACCCGCGGAGCCCGGGCGAGGACCAAAGGCGAGGGGCACGGGGGGAAGGGAACGGGTCAACGCAGATTGAACGTGACAGCATTAAGAAGTAGAGAGTCGGTGCGCTACGGCAGGCCAACGATACTTGTCAAGCGACAAGATAGATCGAGGACTGCGCATGGAATCCGCTCCCTTCTGCCTCATCATCCCTCCTCCGCCTCCTCTCCCCTACTTTGGACGCCCGAAATGGGTACGGAAAGAATGGGTACAATGCCCAACAACAAATGTTGTCCCAAACCAACAGCGGCCGATGTTGAGCAGGCGGCCTCCTGTCTCAAATGGACACATGCCGCCGCGGCGCGGACAGCGAGCCCTGTACAAAATGAACAGAAACTGCTGTTGGGCATCGCACCCATTCTTTCCGTACCCATTCCGTTCGTGCCGACCTACCGCAGGTTTGCGTCGTGTCGACCCAGGCGATGGTTCTTGACACCGCGGGAATCGTTCAACCTTGAACGATCGGCCGCTGCCGCAACGTCCGATCGTTCCACATCGACCGATTCTGGGCCGCCGCCGGCGTTCAACCTTGAACGCCCGCGCTGGGGTCGCCGCTGGTCGACACGACGCAAACCTACCGTACTGTTTGTCCCCTGCCGAGCTGGCAGTAACGGCTCCTCCGTTCCCCGCCCCCCGCCTCCTCCTCCTCCTCGCGAGCTCGGGGGGGTGGCACCCTGGCCAACACAGCGTCCGTCGGAGCCGCGCGCGGCGCCAGGGAGCCAAGCGGGAGCACGGGGGAGGGAGCTGCCCCTGCCCCCGCCCCCCGGGCCGTCGCCGCCCTCCTCGCTCGCACGCCTCGGCCTCCCTCGCGGGGCGATCTCGGGCAGCGGCGGGGCGAGCGGGGCGGGCTCTCGCGTCCTCATCGCCAGGGCCTGCTCCATGTCGCTCTCCGTCTTTGCGATCTCGGTCTCGAGCTCGGTGATCTCCGACCTGACCTTGCTCTGCTCGTGCGTCATCCTCTCGATCTCCTCGCGTGGCGCCGAAAGGAGAGGACCGACGGCGAGGCAGGCGAGAAGAGAAGGGAGGAGGAAGCAGAGACGGAGGAGGGGTAGATGAGTGAGGAGACAGTGTGGACGTGTGCTTGTTTGCTGGTTTGGGACTGGCGTATTGTTTTTACCCCCCACACCACCCCAGGCTGGCGATGCAGGCCGACTGGTGATGGCACCAGCATACGCAGGCCGGCACGGGTGAGCGAAGACGGTGATGCTCTCGTGGCACGACGCGCTGCCGAACTTCGCCCAACCCGGACGGCACGCGTGCCGTTCACCGTGCGCCTGCAGCTGGCCATCGCTGCCGCGTTTGCCGTGCGCGACTGGACCCCTTGCTGGTGCGGCATGCGCAACCTGGCCACCCCCACTCCAGCATCAGCCTGGTGCGCGTGGCTGTGGAGGAGGAGGAGGAGGAGGAGGAGGAGGAGGAGGAGGAGGAGGAGGAGGAGGGAGGAGGAGGAGGAGGAGGAGGAGGAGGAGGAGGAGGAGGAGGAGGAGGAGGAGGAGGAGGAGGAGGAGGAGGAGCATCAGCCCGGTACGCGTGGCTGTGCTCACTGCCACACCGTGCTGCCACTGCAAATGGGGACATTCTGGCCGAGCTGTCCTCTTGAGCCCGGCGCGTCAGCGTGTCCGGAGGTCCCCCACGGGAGGCCTCCAGCACTCCGCAGGCGCCCCTGGAGACACCAAGAGGGCAGAAAACGTTGAAACAGCATGCAGATTCGATCCCTGGTCCTCGTCATCGCGATGGGCCGTCTGCCAAAGCTATTCCTCCGAGCCCTGAGCGCGCGCGCGCGCAGAAGCTCACTTGCCCCCCCCCCCCCAGCGCGACTCGGAGGGCACACGTGGCAGCGCAGCTGGATAAGTAGGCACCCCCACCACCTCACGCGATACTACTGCTCCGACGCGGGCTTTTGATTGGCCCCCCGAAGACATGTGGGCCAGAAGCGAAGCTCACTGCGGGACCCTTCATGCACGCCCCACCCGCACCCTCCGCCCATCCACCTCTGCGATACCTCTTCATCCTATTATTCTTCTTATTATTCTTATTAGTCTTCTTCTTCTTATTATTATTCTTCTTATTCTTCTTCTTCTTATTAGTATTATTAGTCTTATTCTTCTTCTGCTTATTCTTATTATTCTTCTTCTTCTTATTATTATTATTCTTCGTCTTCTTATTCTTCTTCTTCTTCTTCTTCTTCTTCTTCTTCTTCTTCTTCTTATTCTTCTTCTTCTTCTTCTTCTTATTCTTCATATTATTATTTTTCTTCTTCCTCCTTCTCCTCCTCCTCCTCCTCCTCCTCCTCCTCCTCCTCCTCCTCCTCCTCCCCCTCCTCCTCCTCCCTCCTCCTCCTCTCCTCCCTCCTCCTCCTCCTCCTCCTCCTCCTCCTCCTCCTCCTCCTCCTCCTCCTCCTCCTCCTCCTCCTCCTCCTCCTCCTCCTCCTCCTCCTCCCTCCCTCCTCCTCCTCCTCCCTCCTCCTCCTCCTCCTCCTCCTCCTCCTCCTCCTCCTCCTCCTCCTCCTCCTCCTCCTCCTCCTCCTCCTCCTCCTCCTCCTCCTCCTCCTCCTCCCCCCGCTCCTCCTCCTCCTCCTCCCTCCTCCTCTCCTCCTCCTCCTCCTCCTCCTCCTTCCTCCTCCTCCTCCTCCTCCTCCTCCTCCTCCTCCTCCTCCTCCTCCTCCTCCTCCTCCTCCTCCTCCTCCTCCTCCTCCTCCTCCTCTCCTCCTCCTCCTCCTCCTCCTCCTCCTCCCTCCTCCTCCTCCTCCTCCTCCTCCTCCTCTCCCTCCTCCTCCTCCTCCTCCTCCTCCTCTCCTCCTCCTCCCTCCTCCTCCTCCCCTCCTCCTCCTCCTCCTCCTCCTCCTCCTCTCCTCCTCCTCCTCCTCCTCCTCCTCCTCCTCCTCTCCTCCTCCTCCTCCTCCTCCTCCTCCTCCTCCCTCCTCTCCTCCAGATCATCATCAGCATCAGCATCAGCATCAGCAGCATCATCATCATCATCATCATCATCATCAGCAGCAGCAGCATCATCATCAGCAGCATCATCATCATCAGCAGCAGCATCAACAGCAGCATCATCACCATCACCATCACCAACACCATCACCATCACCATCACCAGCATCATCAGCATCATCAGCATCATCGTCATCATCATCAACATCATCAGTAGCAGCATCAACGGCATCATCAGCGGCATCATGAGCATCATCATCAACATCAGCATCAACATGATCAGCATCACAATCACCAGCAGCATCGTCAGTGTCATGATAATCAGCATCCTTAGCATCAGCATCATCACCATCAGCAGCATCATCATCAGCATCGTAATCGTGACCATGATCAGCATCATCATCGTCAACGTCAGCATCACAATCAGCATCACCATCATCATCAGCCGCAACAGCATCAGCATCATCACCATCATCAACACCACCATCATCATCGCCACCATCACCATCATCATCAGCATCACCATCATCATCCTCATCAGCATCACCACCATCAACACCACCACCATCATCGTCATCAGAATCATCATCAGCAGTATCATCAACATCATGATCATCATCATCATCATCATCATCATCATAATCCGCATCATCATCATCGTCATCACCAGCAGCATCATCATCAGCATCATCATAGTCATCATCATCATCAGCATCGGCATCGGCATCATCAGCATCATCAGCATCATCCGCATGATCATCATCATCAGCATCATCCTCATCAGCATCATCACCATCATCAGTATCAGAATCATCAGCATCATCATCATCATCATCAGCATCATCATCATCATCATCATCATCATCATCATCATCAGCATCATCATCATCATCATCATCATCATCATCACCACCATCATCATCATCATCATCATCATCATCATCCTTATCCTCCTGCTCCTCCTGTTGCTCCCTCCCTAGAAATCTCAACAGGTCCAAGAGATCCCCAGACGGGGTCCCGCCCCCCAGGGTCCCGGAGGATTCCTGAAGGCCTCTGGAGGCTCCGAAATAACCCGAAGCTATCAACACAGGTACTGCCCTCGGTCCTCGATGAAAAGGATGGGGAGCTGGAGGAAAAGGAGGATGAGAAGGAGGACCAGCATCCGCACCCCCCACCCACCCACTGTGGACAGCCCTGGCATCGGGTCTCCTCGCCAGCCTTAGTTATGTCAGAGTTGAGGTCCTCCACGGAGTTCGAGTTAGCGTTCTGTGAATTCTGGCAGCGGTCGCGGTGCTCGATGTCCTGAGAGGGGCAAAACAGGGCTCTACACCACCCTTCAAGCAAAAAGGAGGAGGAAGAGGTGATGAGGAAGGTAAGGAGGAGGAGGAGTCTCTGGAGTCACAGCTAGTTCACGAAGTGGCATACTGATGGCTAGCACCCCCGCTGGACCTTGTGGTGTTTCTCTGCTCACGCACAGCCTGACTGAAAACTTTGGGCCAGAGTCCCTCAGAAATTCGCCTCAGGTATCCGCGTCCCATTGAATTCGGAGTCCCTGAGTAAATTCGAAGAACTTACCGACTTGCAATGATCCGTGACACCCGGCGCAAATCGCAAACTTAGCTCAGGGAGAAAACTCGAATGTTAAGACAAACGAACCACCACCCCTGCGACGTGGACATGCTTCCCGAGGGGAAGGGTACCATATGTGTGGCATCTGCGCTAAGAGCGTTAGTAGAACATTCGGACTGGAGCAGGGCATGGAGGGAGAGCTGCAGCGTCCAGTGCACCCTACGTGCTGAGTCGTCCAAAACATGGGGCAAGGAAAACGCAGCGTAGATTTCGGTCGGGCATGCCCCTTACAGGCGGATTTTGGGCGAAAACTTAGACATATGCAAAAAAAACAAACATGGTCAAAAAATACTCTAAACATTGTCCCCTGACTATTTTTTGACTGTTTGGGAATATCCCTCCTGTAGAGGGGCAGGCCCGACTTAAGCGTAGATGAACGGGGCCTGGGGCCGTTGGGGCGCGCTGTCGTCTCCAGCCCTGCGGGGTCCACCTTCTATCGGCGGTGGACAAACCTCCCGTTAGTAGATCTCCCCTTAATAAAAACGGCCTGGGACCGAAACCGACGGACCTGGACCCGCAAAAATGACGGCCGCGGCGCCCTCTCGCGAACCGAAAACGGCCAATTCATTAATCGACGTGTCAGGGTAGGAGGTCTGTCCACCCCCGATTGTAGGGCCTGCTGCTCATCGAGCTCATGCCACAGGCGGGGAGGAGGAGGCAGGAGGGCGAGGAGGAGGGGAGGGGGGAGGGCTGGAACGGGTACAGGTAGGATCGGATCGGATCGGATCGCCTGTGCGGGCATGCGCCTGGGCCCCTTAAGGGCGAGGCGGGTGAAGCCATGGCCTCGCATGAGAGGCAGCGCGCGTCGGAGGCTTGCTCAGGATAATGCGTACCTCACGAGTTGATGTTCCAATTGTTCCCACACCTCTGTTGTAATCCGATGTAGTGACGTAGTTTCGTTGAAGAGGTACAGGTAGAGGACGCGGAGGGGTCACACTGGCTGGCACCAGCGCTGTGGCCGCGAGTCCTCAAACCAGAGCGACGACGGCGAGGGAGCAGAAGACTCGTCACGCTGGCAGAGCAAGGACGCCAACTACAACGCCACCACGCCCAAGGATGAGGGGGAACGATGCGGGCGGGGGGGGAGTGGCTCCGGTGAGGAGCTACCGAGCTTGAACCTGCGATACATAGCCGATAGATCAGCGACAGGCCTCCGAGGGAGAAACCGCAGGTTCCTGGGCGGGGCTGCAAAACGCAAGACGAAGCCAGGACGAGGAATTTGCCCGGCGAAAAACCCAACCATCTGCAGTTGTGGGCACCGTCCTTGTATGCACCGCATTCGGTGGAGCTCCCTATGGGGCTACCAAACGTGTGAAGGGGTGTGCAAACATGGGTGCGGTGGGTGGGTGCATGCGAAGGCTGGCATGTCGCCTTCGGTGGGGCCCCCTATGGGGCCACGAAACATGTGAGGGGCGTGCCAAAATCGGTGCGGTGGGCGCATGCGAACTGGCATTTGGGCCTTCGGTAGGGCTGCCCCTGGGGTCACGAAACGTGTGAAGGGCGTGCAAAAATGGGCGCGGTGGGCGCATGCGAACGCTGGCATGTGGGCCTTCGGCAGGGCTCCTCATGGGGCCACGAAACGTGTGAGAGGCGTACCAAATGGAGCGCGGTGGGCGCATGCGAACGCTGGCAGTTGGGCCTTCGGTGGGGGTCCCTATGGGGCGACGAAACGTGTGACTGGCGTGCCAAAATGGGTGAGCAGGCGCGTGCGAACGCTGGCATTTGGGCCTTCGGTAGGGCTCCCTAAATTTTTCCCGAAATGTATTATCAGTCAACGACTGTTTCGGTAGGGTTCCCTGTAGTGCCACGAAACGAACGCAGAGTGTGCCAAAATGCGCGCGGTGGGCGCATGCAAAACGCTGGCATTTGGGCATTCGGTGCGGCTCCCACTGGGGCCCCGAAACGTGTGAGGGGTGTGCCAAAATGGGTGCGGTGGGTGCATGCGAACGCTGGCATTTGGGCCTTCGGTGGGGCTCCCAATGGAGAGACGAAACCGTGTGAGCGGCGTGCTAAAATGTTTCGGTGGGCGCATGCGAACGCTAGCATTTGGGCCTTCGGTGGGGCTCCCCATACACACACACACACACACACACACACACACACAAGCCATACGCCGTCCGGCGCGTGGGCGGGAAAACAAGCTCAGCACAGCCTGTACTGTAAGGGAGAGGAGGAAGAGGAAGAGGAGGAGACAGAAAACAAACATGCATGCAAAGAGCGCAAAAAGGCGGCCTGCCGGGGCTCACGGGCATGAGTCTTTATACGTTGATGTAAATGTTGTCCAGGCTCGAGTAAATGTTGTCCAGGCTTGATGTAAATGTTGTCCAGGCTCGATGTAAATGTTCGTCCATGATTGCTTCGAGTAGGTGTTGTTCTGACGGGAAGCAGACCTTGACCTTGTCGTACAAGCATTTTGCCCATTCATTTCGCGGCCTCCCAGGAGACCGTTTCACTATGCTTGTTGCCGGACGGGCGCTGTTGGGCATGAAAGTGAGCTGCCTCAGCGCATCAGCCTCGCTGCTACGACATACTTTTCCGAACCACGCCAATTGGTTGACCAATAACTGTGATGTGTACGGTGTTTGGCCAGATCTTTCCCATATGGCTTTGTTTGAGACTCTCGAAATGCACGGGTGCTTGACGCCCAAAATCGAACGCAGACACCGGGCTTGGAAACCGTCCAGCCTGCGTCTGTCGGCTTTGTTCAGCCAGGCACTGCTCAGCGAGTTCATTACTTTAGTTGTAATGAGAGCTCCAAACACTTCCAATTTACGCTTCAGACTGATCGATGCATGCTTCCACGCCTGCGTATACCTTTGGAATTCCCCCCATGCGGGGCCCAACCTCCTGCCCAACTCCTCCTTTATATTTCCACTACCGTACAATATCGCCCCCAAGTACTTCATCTGCGTGGTGGGAGTAATGAAATTGCCGGACGGATCCGCAATACGCAAATCACATTTTATTTGCAACAAGTGAAATTTATCCCAATGCAGCCCCATACCCATGTTCGCGTCAGCGCGTGCAATTGAGTCCAAGAGTTGTTGCAAATCCCGTTCGTTGCGCCCGACTAAAACTGCGTCGTCTGCGTATAAAAGTACCGAAAGGCTTCCGGGCAACAGTGATTGGACCACCTCGTCCTGCAGGTACGTCTCCGCGTCTTTGACGAGCACAGTCATAACCATCACAAACAGAAACGGCGAGAGTGGGCAACCTTGTAAGATACCTGACAGCTGCCCCCGTTCTTCTGACCTCCGGGGCCCGTCTGCCACGCAGAAGCGACGGGAGCCGTAGATATTCCCAATGATTGCAAGCATGTGCGGGGGCACTCCAAATGCAGCAAGTGCTTCGAGAAGGGCTCCCACGTTGATAGAATCGAAAGCCTTTTTCCAATCTAGCGCCAGTAGGGCGACACCACCATCTCGAGCCGCATGTGCTAATTCGATGTGTCGGCGGGCTGCATGGACGGCGTCGGCGGCGCCCTTCCTCCGTCTGAACCCATACTGCGGCCCGCTCAGTCTATCTTCCGCTCCTGCCTGTTGCAATCTCCGCAACAATAAGTTTGCAAATAATTTGTACAATACGCAGAGCAAACTAATAGGACGATAGTTGTCGCACTGATCCACTGGGCCTTTGTTCTTGTAGATTGCGGCAATGACTGCGTGCCGCCAGTCTTCGGGGACATCTTTCTCGCGCCAGCACAGGTTGATCAGCTTCGTCATGGTGTCCAACCCTTTGGGGTCATGTGCCAGCGCCTTCCAGTACTCCGCTGGGATATCGTCCGGCCCCGGCGCCTTTCCTTGCTTTAGTTTGGATATCATCACGCCCACCTCGCGCACTGCGAAGTCGCCCTCTGTGATCGGTAATAATGGTCCATAGGGTTGACGTGCAATAGATGTTGCTGGGCGCACTTTCCATTGTATCTTCTCGAAATACTCTGCCATTGTACTTGCCCTGTCCGTGCTGTCGACGAGTTCGCCGTCCAAATTTCTGAGCCTTCCTTGTTTGTGCGGCTTTGGCCGGCATGCACGTTTAAGCGAAGCCCAATCTCCACCAGCAATTTGTTGATCCAACCATGCAGTTTTATCACGTTTGACAGACTTCCGTACAGCTTTTAGCTATGCCTTTTCCTCCTCCCAGTTGTTGTTAGATCGTGCCACGCTTCGTTGCGCTATCAAGTCCAAGGTTCGGCTTGTGATCCATGGTTTTTGTGTCTTGGCCTCCCGGCGCGGCAAGGCCATCTGAGCTTGGGCGATCGCATTCTTCATGTTATTCCACGTCTGCTGTGCATTACCTGCTGCGGTACCGTGGGCGTTGAAGATGTTAGTGAAAGACTCTCGCACTGTATTGTCGCGAACCGCCGCCCTGTCGAATTCGTTGGTTTCTTGATGGCTGGCCGCCGGCGTCTCGAGTCCCAGGGGACACGTCACCAAATAATGGTCCGTTGCCAACGCCGCTTCCCGATGATTCGCGACGTGTTTCAAAGAGCTGAGAGCAGCAGGCTGGCAAAGCACTAAATCCAAAATATAATGGGATGCCTCTGATATTTGATCCAAGGGCAGTGCCCCAGCTTCTCGGAAAGTAACTTTCTGCTCCAACGGTTGTTCCATAAATGCGTTGGTGATCACCATAGTAGCGCCCGTGCAGAACTCGAGCAGCAAGTCCCTGTTTGG